AGCAGTACTGACCCCAATAAAGATGGCCGCCGGGCCTCCTCGTGGCTCCGGCGGTGAAATGACGTCACGCTCTGCACAGCTCCTCCTAGGAGCTTTGGAAGTTCTCATCAATCCAGACAGCGCCGCGGATATCGTATTGACTTTATACTGCCTTTAATCCATTTTGAGCGCTGCACTTTTATTATTTACATTTATATACATATTCTAAAGGTATTGTGGTTACCTGGAGTGTTCTAGCTGCTGCATTTATACAAGAGCGCTCACTACAATTTGTTTTAAAATCTGAATGTAGATTGCATACTGCGCAGCTCATCGGTACCTAGCCATATGAAATCACTCCTTGTGCCATCACATGCAGATAGTGTCAGCCTGTCATTGATTTGTGCAGGCTTTCTGTCCATGACTGATCTGAAACACCTGATCATACCCACTAAACAAATATGCACATCTATACAGAGTTGGCCATGCGATTAAGGGACTAAAGAGTAACTCCACTTTTCTTGAGATCACCCTGTTAAAATCCCTGAAATGTACATAGATCACCCAAACTCTGTTGCAGATTCCTACCTTTTAGTATTCTGAAGAAATAGCAGTTTGTCTGTCTATGTGCAAAGTGAACATGAATGGGAGTGATTTTAGAATTTATCAATTAGCAGCTGCATTTGCGGAGTTCTATTGAGGAAAGTGACAGGGTCTGCAGCTCTTTAGACATGATTTCCCATTAGAAGTTTTCCACCAAAAATGACACTGTTGTTGCAGGGGATGCTCAAAATCTGATGTATCTTAATGCACATATCTGGGTAAATCAGTAAACAAATCACACAAGCTGGAATTTACATTTGGGGGGGGGGGGCGTTCTGTACACTATCTGTATACACAACACCTCCAGGTTGCCGTATTACATTGCATTTTACAGAAAATTACAAAGCTGCAGTTTGAAAAGGAAAGGTCATTTTTAATAACACTCAACTACAATATGACTTGTGTTTGCAGTTGTATGTTCTATTTTTTTTTTTTTCTGTTTTATTTTTGTTTTCTCACCAAAATGGAGTTTCCCTTTAAACAAAGCTAACTTTATCTTAGATTTAAAAGATCAGATCACATTATGGCTACATTCACATGGGCTATTAGGACTGGTGTGTATAGTAGCAGCAGGAATCAGATTCCTGTTACAGCTCTCAGCAGTGGTGCGGCGCGGCCGCCGGCTCCGATCATATCATGACAGGTCACCAGTCAAGCACACATACAATAATTATGCACTCACAAGCATCATGTTGGACAGGCATGTATGTAGTCAGCAATATGAAGCTGATGATGTCATAGTGAAGTCAAATAATCATATAGTCCTGACCAGAGCTGTTGGGATCATGGAGGAGGTACAGGTGCCTCTGCAGAGATCCAGGGAAGCCACCATAGAGCCACGGCGGGAACCTCAGAGGCTGATGGAGGCATGGTTTGGCCTCCGAAACGTGTTGCTGATTGGCTACAGCACCCAGGTAGTTCCTTTGACAGTTCATCTGAGGGTGGCGGCTTGGCGGCTCTCTCCTTCCCTCCTTAATTAAAAGGCTAGTTTCGGAAAGGCGTTAGTCCACCTAGTCTGGCTGGATCCCGTTGGGCTTCCTTCTTTCATTGGTATCTTAGATAACTCAGGAATTCTAGTAGCACCTTGTCACCACATAGGTTTTTATCTTCTCCTTCACCAAAATTCGATTGGTTTTATTAGGGCTTGTTCCTTATTCAGATCGCTCTTCAAAGCGCATTTGATAGGCAAGGTGGAGACGTTGAATCGCCTCCTCAATCCCAGCTTTAATCCCTTGGGCCCCGCATTAGCACGCCATGGTTGCAGAGCGGCTCCATTTATTGAATGGTTGATCAATGGTATGAAGTAAAGCCTTGTGGCCACAGCATTTATACACACCCACTGTCGCCTCTGCAGCTAAAGGGGGAGCAGTGGGGGGGGGGGCAGTAAAAAGGTGGTTCTATTGTGGGGTTTACCGCCCCCAACCAGCCCTTAGATCATTCCACTATGTCATTACCGAGTTAGAAATTTGCAAATGGTGTTGTTTAAACATAAGGCCACCCTTCGCTGTTTAATTTTGCAGTTTCTCTTTTTAGAAATAACACAATGCAGCTAAAAATAGCCGCTTCCTTCACTTGTGCTTCAAATTAATATTTTTATTTGTTTTGTTTGTTATTTTAAGTACTTATTTTCCCATATATTTCCATGGAAACTAGACATGTCCAAAGGAAAAATACAAATGGATTCTAAAGTTGGTAACAGTGTAGACTAGTTAGTAAACGTTTGACTGCTTCAGACAATATTAGTAAATCAGTGCCAAAAGCGTACTAGAGTTGTCCTTTCACATGGTGAACATGGATCCTGGCTATACAGGGCTACAGCTAAGGCCCAGGAAGGGGCTGAAACGTGTCAACCTTGCTTTGTGATGGATTTCCAATAATGATTCTGCGGACTTCTAACTTTATTCTACCATATTGCCGGACCTTTTTTTTTTATCTCGTATTGTAGGATGGGTATACCTCAAGCCAAATTATTTCATAACTTAGGGCCAGTACCAGAACAGGTTTGTTCAGCACCCAGGGCAAGGATCTGGAACTGTGCCCCTCCTGTGCTTCTTCTACATGCAGTAGAATGATTGTACTGCCCTGTTCCCATTCTCAGCCCTCTTTGCACCAGCTGTCCATGGTTACCATGGAGTGTTCACTACACGTTTGGCCAGTTGCTTGCTTTCTAGGAAATAGAAGGCAGCTGTGTATGCCCAGTGTGTTCTCTGTGTCAGCTGTGGGCAAATGGGGTTCAGATTGGGCGGTTGGAGCATGTGTGGCATTCGTAGGTGTCAGAGTATTATTATTATTATTATACAGTATTTATAAAGCGCCAATAGTTCGCTCAGCGCTGTACATTACAAAGGGGGACAGAACATGTGACAGAACAATACCAATACAATGCAAAACATGAGGGGATTGAGGGCCCTGCTTTTTCGAGCTTACAATCTAGGAGGGAGGCGACATGAATCTGCACCCTGCTGGTTGCTGGCCACTGATCTGGGAATTGCATGTGGTGAAGAGGCACCCTCCCTTCCTATCCAACTCTTGTCCCAGCCCTTTTTAGGGCTTGTTCACACTAGTGGTTGGGCAGTAAAACACTGTTGCTGAGCTGCGATTTTACAGTTGAAGAGCAATCTGAATACTCTAAAGAGAGCAACACTGGTGTGAACAAGTCCTTACATATTTTATGTTGTATAGCTACCAGCCCTCTAGAGATCCTCTGAAGCCTCTCCTGTGATTCGGATAGGAGTTTCCAGGATCCAAAATGGCCGCCCAAACACTTCCGGTTCCGCTGTGCGTCTGACGTCACTTCCCTTTGACGCGTTTCGTCATTGCACTTAATCATGAAGGGATCCGAATCACAGGAGAGGCTTCAGAGGATCTCTAGAGGGCTGGTAGCTATACTAATTTTATGGATGGCGGTTTTAAAGATGTAATAACATGGAAGCACATTAATAAAGTATATTTTCCAAGTGTTATACGGGTTCACACTATCATCTATCTCCTATATGGTTGACATCGTTTGGAGCATGGAGATTGGTGGTTAGAGAAGAGTATACCCATGTGGCAGTGAGGATCTCTCTGTGGGAGCAGATTTACTACATCATCCTACCTAATGATTACAGGCTTTATGGTTTATATCTGGTAAGGGTATTCAATCTGCACACTATAGAAGTGTACACTATCCTTCACAGTTTATTGAATGGTTTGTCACAGTATTGCTTTCACTGGCACGTTTTACACAGTTGCTCACTTTTTTTGCACTATTAGTGATCACGTGTGTGTTTTTTTGTGAATATATCACAGTTGCTTACTCAATTTTTGCTAAGGATAATGCACTATATGAGTTTTTGTTTTTTTGAGGTTTCTGGGAAACACTTGGGAAGCTGTTTGCAACAAGAAGATTTTTTGGACTGTATGAAGGACTTAAATTTTTGTATGATTATATGGACTTTGGTGGACACTATATTTATTGATTTATTTGGAAATTGTATTATTTTAAATATTTGAGCACTGGTTCATTTTGAGCAATTTTTCTGAGAGGGAGCATAATATTTTTAGTAATTTGTAGACTTTTTTTGGTTTAAAGTGTTTATATGCGTTTGCGGGGATTTTTGCAATAGGGATACCGTTATTATTTAATTTTATTTATGTTGTAGTATTGTTACCAAAGTCATATATATATATATATATATATATATATATATATATATATATATATATACATACATACACACACTATATTGCCAAAAGTATTGGGAACTGCCTTCACACGCATATGAACTTTAATGGCATCCCAGTCGTAGTCCGTAGGGTTCAATATTGAGTTGGCCCCGCCCTTTGCAGCTATAACCGCTTCAACTCTTCTGGGAAGGCCGTCCACAAGGTTTAGGATTGTGTCTATGGGAATGTTTGACCATTCTTCCAGAAACTCATTTGTGAGGTCAGGCACTGATGTTGGGCAAGAAGGCCTGGCTCGCAGTTTACGCTCTAATTTCCACTCATCCATGTCTTTATGGACCTTGCTTTGTGCACTGTTGTGCAGTCATGGTGGAACAGGAAGGGCCATCCTCAAACTGTTCCCACAAAGTTGGCAGCATGAAATTGTCCAAAATGTCTTGGTATGCTGATGCCTTAAGAGTTCCCTTCACTGGAACTAAGGGGCCAAGCCCAACCCCTGAAAAACAACCCCACACCATAATCTCCTTTCCACCAAACTTTACACTTAGCACAATGCAGTCAGGCAAGTACCGTTCTCCTGGCAGCCACCAAACCCAGACACATCCATCAGATTGCCAGACAGAGAAGTGTGATTCATCACTCCAGAGAACACGACTCCATTGCTCTAGAGTCCAGTGGTGACGTGCTTTACACCACGGCATCTGCCGCTTTGCATTGCACTTGGTGATGTAAGGCTTGGATGCAGCCTCTCGGCCATGGAAACCCATTCCATGAAGCTCTCTACACACTGTTGTGTTAATCTGAAAGCCACATGAAATTTGGAGGTCTTTAGCTATTGACTCTGCAGACAGTTGGCGACTTCTGCACACTGTGCACTTCAGCATGCGCTGACCCCACTCTGTCATTTTACGTGGCCTACCACTTGGTGGCTGAGTTGCTGTTGGTCCCAGTTGCTTCCACTTTGTTATAATACCACTAACAGTTGACCGTGGAATATTTAGTAGCCAGGAAATATCACAGATGGACTTATTGCACAGGTGGCAACCTATCACGGGACCACGCTTGGAGTCACAGAGCTCCTGAGAGCGACCCATTCTTTCACAAATGTTTGTAGAAGCAGTCTGCGTGCCTAGGTGATGATTTTATACATCTGTGGCCATGGAGGCGATTGGAACACCTGAATCCAATGATTTGGAGGGCTGGCCCAGTACTTTTGGCAATATAGTGTATCCGCATAAATACACACATATACACTGTATATCATTTTTTATTTTTAAATCTTCTGTTGGGATTCTCATAACTTTATAGTAATAGACAACCTTAGGACAAGCTGTGCAGCTTTCATATATTGTTTTTCTGGAAAATGTTGAATCGCACTGCTATCATCACATTTTTCATTCTAGTGAGATTTGTTAAACTATGAATTTCAGCTTTGTGGTCCTCATGTAAGCAGGAAACGTGGCCATTTGAGCACTTAATAGTGGGCTTAATGGTCACACACAGAGGTAAAAGGTGCAAGTGTTTTTGTATTGGCAGATGGCCTTTAGGTTTGATTTCTTATGTTATATTACCAATAATGGCTGTTTATTTGTATCATCTAACACAAGGGTATTAAATTAAAATTCATGGAGGTCTGGTCAATACAATTTTTCAGCCAGCGGAGTCTCATGTTTTTGCTATGACTCTGATCCTTTATATCACAGCCCCACCCCCTTACATTAAAGTTTCCTGTTTACATCAATGTAATCACTTCTTCCCTTTGCATCCAAGTCCCCCCGTGTACATCACAGCCCCCCTTTACAATACAGCCCCCACTTTGCATGCAAGGCTCCCCCATTTACATCACAGATCCCCTTTACAATACAGCTCCTTTTTTATCCAAGTACCCCTATATACATCACAGAACCCCTTTACATCAATGCCCTATGCCCCCTCTTCACTTCACAGCCCCCCTCCTTACATCACAGACCTTCCCCCTTTTACATCAGTGTCCACAGCCTCCACCTCACATTACAGTCCACCTCCCTTACACATCAGTGTCCTTCATCACTTCTTCACATCACATCCCCCCTCCTTGCATCCAAGTCCCCTTCACAGCCCCATCCTTGTATACCAGTCCCCGTTCCTTGCATCCCAGTCCCATTCCCAGCCCCCCATACTTGCATCACAGTCCCATTCCCAGCCCTCCTTACTTGCACCCTTGCCCCCTTTACATCCCCCAAACTTGCACCCCAGTCCCCTTCCTTGTATCCCAGACCCCATCACAACCCCCGCCTTGTGTCCCAGGCCTTTTTAAAGCCACCCTGCCTTCCTGCATTCCAGTCCCCTCTACAGCCCCCTTTTTTGCACCCCAGTCCTCTTCCTAGCCCCCCTCCTTCACCTCAATCCCCTTCCTAGCCCCCCTCCTTCACCCCAGTCCCCTTCCTAGCCACCCTCCTTGTACCCCAGTCCCCTTCCTAGCCCCCCTTCCTTGCACCCCAGTCCCCTTCCTAGCCCCCCTTCCTTGCACCCCAGTCCCCTTCCTAGCCCCCCTTCCTTGCACCCCAGTCCCCTTCTTAGCCCCCCTTCCTTGCACCCCAGTCCCCTTCCTAGCCCCCCCTCCTTGCACCCCAGTCCCCTTCCTAGCCCCCCTCCTTCCACCCCAGTTTCCTTCACAGCCCTCTTTCCAACCTTTACGATCCGGCAGGTGATTGGTAGTTAGGACCACCCCTAGGAACAAATCACAGGCTTGTTAACTTGGGCAGCTCCTGTCCTATGTCCGGACTTGCTGCACCTTCTGCCTTCTACTTACTGTATAGGGATGAAGGTGGGGGGAAGGAGGATTCACCCGGGAGAGGACACCCAGGCTGCTAAGTGGCAGTCCATTTCCAGACCGCAGTCCGCCACTTAGTGATACCTGATCTAACAAAATTAATGAAACCATCAGACAACAGAGATTTCTAGATCTCTGCTAGGTGGGGAAAAAAAGAAGCCATCCATTAAAATCATTGCATATGTTTGAGTTCTCCAAGCACAAGCGGATCCTCCTGTTCCATGACTCCATTTGGAGAGCATAGCTTATGAATAAGCTCCGGATGGAGAAAAACGCATTAAAGTCGTGGATACAGTGATCAGTGCTAATACTGTACACTCACTGTACTAATGACACCAGCTGGGAGGGGTTAACAGCTACGGGCAATCAAAGGGTTGACTGTGTGCCTAACAAGTGTAATGTGTGCTGCTCTTACTAATAGATATAGCTGTTTTTTTCTCCCTGCTTTGCAGGGAGAGGAAACTGCTGCTCAGTGTACAGAGCCCTGTGTTGTTTGTAAACACAGAGCTGTGTGATGTGATTGGACACAGCCGATTAGCAGGTCTCAGCCATTAATAATTTGCAGGAACCTGCTGACAAAATCGCACTGCAACGTGGGTATGCACACCCCACACCCGGGAATCAGGCTTGCAACGTTTATGCTGTTGAGCTTGCAGCTCCCGCTCGATCACAGTAAATCTACTGTGAAAGGGTGGCAAGTAGTTAATAGAGTTTTTAATGGAGAGCATCTTCACTTTATTTTCTGCCTTGGAAATGGACTTTATGGAGTGGCTGGCAACCACTGGAACCCTGCTCCTATTGTCTGAGGAGAGGTTAATGCATGTAGCAGGACTGGAGACTTTGCTGCATATAGATATATTTCTGGATGTTAATAGCAATCAGATTCTGCATCTGAAGTGGCATTATAGGAGAGCTGGATTTGCGTTGATAGCTATTGCCTTCCTTTCCCGTTTGTCCATTTTTAGCATGAATAGACCAATGTGAGTTTTTTTTATGTGACTGTATGGCTCATTATTTCTTGGTATGGATGTCTCTTGTGACATTAAATAAACATGGGGTGTGTGTGTGTGTATATATATATATATATATATATATATATATATATATATATATATATATATATACAGTTGCAAGAAAAAGTATGTGAACCCCTTGGGATTACGTGGAGTTTTGCATGAATTGGGCATAACATGTGCTCTGAACGTCATCTAAGTCACAACAATAGAAGAACACAGTCTGCTGAACATAATACTACACAAACATTAGATGTTGCCATGGTTTAATTGCACATAACATGTAAACATTCATAGTGCAGGGAGGAAAAAGTATGTGAGGCCCTAGCTTAATGACTTCTCCCAGAGCTAATTGGAGCCAGGAGTGAGCCAACCTTGACTCCAATCAGTGTGATGATATTGGATGTGTTGCTGACAGCTGTCCTGCCCTTAAAAAACACACACCTGTTTTGGGTTTACTGGTTTCAAGAAGCACTGTCTGATGTGAACCATGCCTCGCAGAAAAGAGCTCTCAGAAGACCTACGATCAAGAATTGTTGACTTGCATGAAGCTGGAAAGGGTTACAAAAGTATCTCCAAAAGCCTTGATTTTCATGTGTCCACGGGAAGACAGACTGTCTACAAATGGAGAAAGTTTAGCACTGTTGCTACTCTCCCTAGGCGTGGTCATCCTGTAAAAATGACTGCAAGAGCACAGCGCAGAATGCTCCATGAGGTAAAGAAGAATCCCAGAGTGTCAGCTAAAGACCTACAGAAATCTCTGGCACATGCTAACATTTTTGTTGACACATCTACAATAAGGAAAACATTAAGCAAGAATGGAGTACATGGGAGGACACCACGGAGGAAGCCATTGCTGTCCAAAAAGAATATTGCAGCACGTTTGAAGTTTGCAAAAGAGCACCTGGATGTTCCACAGCACTACTGGCAAAATATACTGTGGACAGATGAAACCAAGATTGAGTTGTTTGGGAAGAACACACAACACTATGTGTGGAGAAAAAAAGGCACAGCACACCAACATCAAAACCTCATCCCCACTGTAAAACATGGCGGAGGGAGCATCATGGTTTGGGGCTGCTTTGCTGCCTCAGGGCCTGGACGGATTGTTGTCATTGAAAATGAATTCCAGAGTTTATCAAGACATTTTGCAGGAAAACGTACGACCATCTGTCCGCCAACTGAAGCTCCGCAGAGGATGGGTGATGCAACAGGACAATGACCCAAAGCATACAAGTATTTCAACAAAACAATGGCTGCAACAGCACAGAATACGCCTTCTGGAGTGGCCCAGTCAGAGTCCTGACCTCAACCCAATTGAAATGCTGTGGCATGACCTTAAGAGAGCGATTCACACCAGACATCCCAAGAATATTGCTACACTGAAACAGTTTTGTGAAGAGGAGTGGTCCAAAATTACTCCAGATCATTGTGCTGGTTTGATCTGCAACTACAGGAAACATTTGGTTGAGGTTATTGCTGCCAAAGGAGGGTCAACCAGTTATAAAAGTCCAAAGGTTCACATACTTTTTCCTACCTGCACTGTGAATGTTTACATGTTATGTGCAATTAAACCATGGCAACATCTAATGTTTGTGTAGTATTATGTTCAGCAGACTGTGCTCTACTATTGTTGTGACTTAGATGATGTTCAGAGCACATTTTATGCCCAATTCATGCAAAACTCCACATAATCCCAAGGGGTTCACATACTTTTTCTTGCAACTGTATATATATATATATATATATACACATACACACACTATTTTGCCAAAAGTATTGGGATGGCTGCCTTTACACGCACATGAATTTCAATGGCATCTCAGTCTCCGTCCATAGGGTTCAATATTGAGTTGGTCCACCCTTTGCAGCCATGATAGCTTCAACTCTTCTGGGAAGGCTGCCGACAAGGTTTAGGAGGGTGTCTATTGGAAATATTTGACCATTTTTCCAGAGGTGCATTTGTGAGGTCAGGCACTGATGTCGGACCAGAAGGTCTGGCTCGCAGTCTCCACTGTAATTCATCCCAAAGGTGTTCTATTGGGTTGAGGTCAGGACTCTGTATAGGCCAGTCAAGTTCCTCCACCCAAGACTTGCTCATCCATGTCTTTATGGACCTTGCTTTGTGCACTGGTGCACAGTCATGTTGGAACAGGAAGGGGCCATTCCCAAACTGTTCCCACAAAGTTGGAAGCATGAAATTGTCCAAAATATCTTGGAATGATGAGGCCATAAGGGTTCTCTTCACTGGAATTGAGGGACCAAGCCCAACCCCTGAAAAACAACCCCACACCATAATCCC